TATTAGTCCATTAACATAGAAAACCTTGCTGTTAAGTAGCTACTTTGCAAATACCAGGAAATGTGTGACACATTAAAGAAGGCAGAAATCTCATATTCCAACACTTCTTCTTATAAGAAGCGGGTAAATATTCAGCAGCTGGTGTAGACAAGCGTCTGCAACTGGGCAGTCTCTGAACCACTGCCAAGCAGCAGTTAACTCGGAACTAGTACACCTTTTTGATGAAAAACCACATTGGCTGTATGCTTTGTATATAATCTTCCAACTGTAATAAAATACTTCTTCTTTTTCATCCTCTTCCTTTGAAAATATGGAGTTATGGGAAAAAGTACAATTCTTTAAGGAATAAGGACCCAACCATTTTAAAAGAAAATATATTGTAATTTATTAAATTGTAACTTACGAGACATTCAATATACAACATGGCAATTGTTCTGGGATTTAACCCTAGGATACGATCGTTGCTGGTGCTTAGCAAAAGTTCACACTTAGCACAGCCGAATACTTCACTGACGAAAAACACACCACCAAAGGGAATTCAAATATTTTCTCTAAAAAACCATTTTAAAGTTCTTTCTCTTGAAGCCGATGAGTAATGTAATGAAGTAGATGGACATGGTGGTCTAGCTGGCTGGCGGCACACAGCACCTCCATCCTTTAGCTCACAAGTACATCATTGCGCGATCAAGCACACCCCACATGACCATGTCTACAGAAGCGGGAGATACATGCTGAGACAGATATTTACACCCAACGCCAACAGTCTCACTCGAAAGAGGAAAAAGCCAATGATTCTCCTCACACGAGATTATGACTACCGTGGCGTTCCATCAAGATCTGTATTTCTGATCTTTTACGAGCCTTGCGACAAGCTTCAAATGTACCCCCCAGAAAAGCACCATGCGTGTTCTGATCGCCAGCGCAGCAACAGTGAGCACTGCACGCAGAACTGTCTGGTGCCAGCAACTGAACAAGGTCGGCCGCTCCACAGGCCCCTCCTCCGTGGGGTGCTGTGGAAGTCTCCCGATCACACAGAGCCCGCTTGTCTTCTCTCTCATCTACGGCCACAGCTGTCCTCCTAAATCCAGCCCCACTGGCAATTCTGAACAAAAGAAGATTAGTAACAAGTTATTATTGTTAGAAATTATTAATAAGTAAACGCTACGTGAACTAGCGAACAATATGAGCTACTTGTTAACCTCTGGTGCCGTGTTTACGTGCCAAATGATACTCAAGGGTGCTTCTAGTCGGAGTTCCAGCTGGTAATCAAGTATCTAGAGAGAATGGAAAGGTTTCTCTGGCAGTTGGTGAATTTAAGGCTTGTCTGCTGCCGAATGAAATTTTCTCAGGCGTCTTGAGCGTCATTGTGTATAAAGCAGCCGACGGAACTGTATTTGCTGTTGCTAGCTGCTGTCGAGTTGGCACCGACTCACGGCGACCCCACGTGTAACAGGAGAAAACGCTGCCTGGTCTTACGCCATCTTCACGATCGCTGGTATGTCTGAGTCCATCTCACTGAGGGCCTCCAGCGCCTTCACTGGCCTTCCACATGATGTCCTTCTCCAGCAATCCGTCCCTCCTGATGATGCCTCAAAAGTAAGCGCATCAAAGTCTTGGACAACAGTCTGAGACACATAGGATTTTCACTGGCTAATTTTCAGAAGTAGATCACCAGGTCTTTCATCCTCGTCTGTCTTTGTCTAGAAACTCTGCAGAAACCTGTCCACCATGGGTGATCCTGCTGGGATTCGAAGCACTGGTACCAAAGCTTCTAGAATCACAACACCATGCAAGCCACCACAGGACGACAAACTGACAGGTGTTTGGGGTCGTGAAATTAAAGCCCATACCAGTAAACCAGTCAAGAGGAAGCGTCAGCCTGGGACAGATGTAAATGCCAGGCAAAACAAAAAGAACAGCTATGTAATCCTTTCCGAGGCACTTTTAGACTGTAACTTCTAGGATGTTAACTGTTGTCTAGGACTGGGCTGTCCAAATCAAAAGCCACTAGCCACATGTGGCTGTTTAAATTATAATTAAAATTAAACAAAATAGAAAATTTAGTTCCTCAGTCCCACTAAGCACAATTAAAGTGCTCAGTAGGCACACGTGGCCTCTTGCTACCCTAACGGACAGTACAGATAAAGAACACTGCCATCATCCCAGAATGCTCTATTGGAGAGCCTGGCCCAGGTCTAGGACTTACAATTTTTTGCCAATGGGGGGAACACCTACACAAATGTGGTACAATAACCATATTTATTCCTGGCTTTTTCTCAGTTTATCTCACGTCTTGTAACACAAATAACTCAAATGTGTCTACCACCACAGCGCTCTACAAAACAGTACTACAACCAATCAAAAATGTCCTGGCTGGAGCGACTTAAAGTACTGAGTAACCAGGACAAAAGAAAAACAAATATGGAAACACTGAGTGGGTCTTTATGCAAACAGCACGCTGATTTCCTTAAGAATCTACGTTCTGAATCAAGTCAGTGCCAATCTGAGTCTTCTCTCACCATCTACCCCCATCAACTACTGTATGGTTCTTGTTTGTTTGCTTGTTTAACAAAGTCTTTTTTATCTTAGTTGTTGTTGTTGTTAGGTGCTATTGAGTCGGTTCCGACTCACAGTGACCCTGTGGACAACAGAACGAAACACTGCCTGGTCCTGTGCCATCCTCGCAATTGTTGCTGTGCTTGAGCCCACGGTTGCAGCCACTTTGTCAATTCATCTCTTTGACCGTCTTCCTCTTTTTCGCTGACCCTCTAGTTTACCAAGCATGATGTCCTTCTCCCGGGACTGGTGCCTCCTGATAACATGTCCAAAGTATGTGAGATGAAGTCTTGCCATCCTTGCTTCTAAGGACCATTCTGGTTGTACTTCTTCCAAGACAGATTTGTTCGTTCTTTTGGCAGTCAGTGGTATGTTCAATATTCTTCATCAAGACCATAATTCAAATGCGTCAATTCTTCTTCAGTCTTCTTTATTCACCATCCAGCTTCCGTGTACATATGAGGCGGCTGAAAACACCATAGCTTGGGTCAGGTGCACCTTAATCCTCAAAGTGATATTTTTGTTTTTAACCCTTCGAAGAGGTCTTTTGCAGCAGATTTGCCTGATGCAACAATACATCTTAGGAATCCTTGACTGCTACTTCCATAGGCATTGATTGTGGGTCCAAGTAAAATGAAATCCTTCACAACTTCAATACTCATTTATCTTCGCAACAACCTGCAATTCAATTTATTTGGTGATAAAACCACTATCACTATGCCAGGGACAATACAAACTACCAGAAAACACCAAGAAAATCCCAATTATAGAGGCATTACCAAGAAAGCATAAGATATGAGCAACGTGACTAAAAAGACTCACATGTAAGCTAAGACAACCAGATCTAACAGCATTATCGATTTCTCCTTTGATTATCCACAGTATAAAGTCCAAAATTTGGGCTACGTTTTACATTTGCTTTCCCGCTATGTTCTGACTGACCACAACTCCTCCCAAGTACAATTTTAAATACATCTTATGACGTTACTAGGTATTTTGTTTCCTAATTCATTTACCTGATTTTTAAGGTTGTCTGGCTGACAAATCACATTTGAAAAGTAATGCGTGTATTTATTTCACCAAAATAAAAGCAAGTAACTCAATAAGGATGACAAATATTGAACTGAGAATACAGTTTCACGAGTGGTGGGCAGATCACCGTTTATAAACAAAGACACCAGTTGCATGTAAAAACCATGAGCCTGAGATGCAATGCATGTAACTGAACTCTGATTCGAAAACAACAGCTGCGCTCTACTCTAGGGCACAAATAGTAAGAAACTACGCATGAACGATAGGGGCCTGCAGGTGCAGTGGTCAGAGAGCTTGGCTGCTAACCTAAAGGTCGGCAGCTCGCCAGCCACTCAGCAGAAGAAAGATGTGGCAGTCTGCTCCCGTAAAGATGAGAGCCTTGGAAACCCTATGCGGCAGTTCTACTCTGCCCTATAGGGTCACTCTGAGTTGGAATCGACTCCACAGCAATGGGTTTGGTTTTCTATATATAGCTCACTGAGGTATGTGGTCTTTATAATCCCACATAACTTGAGATGGCAAAGGCCGCTAAAAACCTTCCCTCTAAAATCGTCTTTTGGTAGATGAAAATTGTAATTAAATAAGGGATTGACCAAGAAGTCAGTAGCAGCCGAAGCGTGGTTTGTCCCTAAACTGAAGTCCATCATGATAACATATAACATCTCTTTCCCTCTGGTCCATGTTAGCAAAATCCTAACCAGCCTCAATTCTCCAGAGTTATCCGTCAAGCCAGTGTTTACGCTGGTCCATGTGTGACTCCACACGTCCCTGCCTGCTACAGCACCGTGGCAGACAGGGCTGGAATAGTGACAGCTGTAGTTTAAGCAGGGGGCAGAGACAGTGCCGCACTTCACAGCTACCCTGTAAGGAGATCCTGCCTCAGTCTATTACACAAATAATGAGAAATTAACAGCAATACCAGAGAAGAGCACCTCTTGTTAGTTGAGAAGCTGTGAAACCCCTGACAAACACTTTCTCAGAAGCCAGTATAGCCCTCACCTTGAGTTCTGAAAGGAGTCCCCGATGGAGCAAATGGTTAATTGGTTGCTAAACAAAAGGCTGGGTTTGAGTCCACCCAGAGGTACCTTGGAAGAAAGGCCTGGCAATCTACTTCTAAAAAATCAGCCACTGAAAACACTATGGAGCACAGTCCTACTCTGACATGCATGGGGTCACCATGAACTGGAGTTGACTCGATAGCAACTGGATTTGTGCTCTGAAAAACAGCAGCCTGGTGGTCAGTCTCATATGTCACAGAGAGCATACAGCTTCCTTTCCTACAGTACTCCAGACAGGAGAATGTTAATCCACAGCAGAGTTGGAATAAGAAGTCATTTGATTTCTAACTTTCATCCCTACCATTGAAAGGGACCACTTAGAAATTCATTCCGTGGATTCTGCCTAAATACAGACACTGTTGTACTAAACGTGAGAACAGAGCACTCTGGACGGAAGAAAGAGGTTCATCTCAGCCTGTCAACTCTCTGGTGCAGCTGCTTCTCTTCTTGTGTTTACTCCACCAGCTCTATTACAAACACTAAGACATGATACCAGTTTCTGCAGTTTTAGCACAGAGCTTGAACTCATTGCAGTCAAGTCGATTCTGAGTCATAGCGACCCTATAGGACAGAGTGGAACTGCCCCACGGCGTTTCCAAGGAGGAGCTGGTGGATTCCAACTGCTGACTTTTTGGTTAGCAACCGAGCTCTTAACTACTGCACCACCAGGGCTCTTAGGTTAAACGAGAAGACAGAAAAAAAAACAAAAACCTTGGTTATAATTTTTTCAGTATATAACTTAGAAAACCATTACCTTCCTCCAAAATTTTTATAGAACGCTGATCCTTTCAAGGGCCAATACTTCCTTTTTCACCAGAATTTGAAATGAATCTCTCATGAACTTTTTCATGATTTCCAACACATTGGTTAGCATTGAGGCCAAAAGCAACACAACCTTAAAAAACAGACAATGACTAATTATGTTGACACATCAAATGAGAAGTATAATAGTTTTCATAATGATACTTAGAGAAATGATGTTTGAGACCAACCGCCCCTGTCTTACTATAGAATTGAACTAGACAGAGACTGCAGGAAACAATCGCTCTGAGCAGGAAGAAAGGAGAGTGTAGCACTTCACAGCTATACAGTAACAATCCAACCCACCCGCTATAGAGAAATCATGTGCAAACCTGAATACTTGTATTTCATTTCTGACAAATCTCATAAATTTGATCTTTAATCCTTTGGCTCAACATTTTATCTGCTTCATTCAAAAGAAACATCTCAATCCATTTTTGGAAAGTAAAAATGTCTCACTTAGTGTGGGCTGGGCATAGTGAGTGCCTTCTAAAGAGCACAGTAGGAAACAGGTGGGAAGAGAGTAACTTTACAGGGGAGAAATCTGACAAACACTGCCTCAGTCAGGTGATCAAGGTCAATATCAACAATCATAAATCATGTAGACAGGATGGGACCTGATATAAGGTGATGAGAATGGCACTTACCCCTGGGGTCTTCCTCCCCAAAACCTGTAACCCCAGCCTAATCTTGAGAAAAATATCAAATTCCAGTAGAGGGAATCCTAAGGCCACCCCAATGAATAGGACCAAAAGTAAAACTAGTTCTGTGAACCTCAGAAGGATTTATTTATTTAATAACTACATATGAAACATTTTCTAGGTACAGGGTTTTTTTTTTTTTAGTTATAATTTTACAAATAAATCAAGGCTCATTAAGTGATTTGTTTAACATCACTTGAATAATGAGCGATAGTTGCTAAAATTAGAATCTCAATTTTTCTTATTCCACATTCCTTTCTAGGTGGAGGAAAGGTTTTGCAGGTTTTCGGAGGTTCTGTTAACTGGAACAAGTTCCCGAGAGAATCTTTAGGAAATAGTTTGTAAGTAAACTACGCTACTACTGTAAACTCTAAGAAAACAAAACAACATACAAAGAAACACAAAAGTCCTACAAGGCTTGACTCTGTTTTAAAAATATATCAAGTATACAAACTCTTTGAGCCCCTGGGTGGTGCGCAAATGGTTAAGCGCGGGACCATCAGCTAAAAGTTTGGCGGTTCCCACCCACCCAGAGGTGCTTCCGAACCAAACCCAGAGATCTGCTTTCAAAAAGTCACAACCTTCAAAATTCAAAACCCCATGGAGCAGTTCAAGGAACCCTGGTGGCTCGGCGCAGTGCTTAAGCACAAGTCTGCAGTTCGAAACCCCCAGCTGCACCAAGGGAGAAAGATGTGGCAGTCGGCTTCCATGAAGATTTACAGCCTTGGAAACCCTACGCGGCAGTTCTTCTCGTCCTACAGGGTCACTGTGAGTCAGATCGCCTGGACAGCAAGGCGTATGGAGCAGTTCTACTCTGTATACATGGGTCGCCATGAGTAGGAATCGATTCCATAGCAACCAACAACAACAAGCTCTTTGGGTCTCACCAGAACGTGGGTTATAACAATGCTCCCCACACGGTTTGTACGATTAGGAGCTGTACAAACGTTATTCTTGCCTATGGTTGCTAGATAAAATACAGGACTCTCAGTTAAATTTGAATTTCAGATAAGCAATAGATAATTTTTTATATTTTTATGTTATTTTGGGGACATGCTTATAAAAAAAAAAAAAAATCCTCATTTATCTGGAATTCACGTTTAACTGGGCGTCCTGTATTTCTATTTGCTAAATCTGGCAACCCTAATCTTGCCCCTATGGCAAGGGGAGCAGGGAGGATGGCAGGCCCAGCTTCCCCCACCCTTCCTCCTAAATGGAGAAACTGAGGCAAACGGCAGGCTGAACGGTGGGCGTGGGGAAGAGGCAAGAGAGAGGGCTGCGTCCAGGAGGCCTCCCTGTCGAAGCTGGACTGAAGGCAGATTGTTCCCTCCTCTCTCCGTCGTCCTCCTCGACCTTCGGTTCCCCCCATCTCAGGGCGGCGCACACGGATCCATTCACCCCACGACCCCCGCCCCGGGGCACTGATGCACCGCCCCTCCACCACCATTATCTGGGAGGCAGCAGCAGGCTGCAGCACCGACCGAGCAGAGGCCGCCGCCCTGTTTCCGGAGCCCGGCCGCTCTTCGATGCGCGGCTGCGCCCCTAAAATGCCCCAGTCGGGCTGCCATTCCTCACGGGAGCCTTTTGCCCTCTCCTGGCCACCGTCCAGGCCCAAGCCAAGGAATGGGCCAATCTGAGTGCAGCATTCGGCTGGGTCGTCGCCGCTACAACCAATCAGCGAGGACTCGGGGCGTGTCCTCGCAGGGATGCGGTCCCCTGCTTCCACTGCTGGTGCCTGAGCGATAGAACCAAACCCGTTGCCATGGAGTCCATTCTGATTCATAGCGACCATACGGGACAGAGTAGAACTGCCCCATAGGGTTTCCAAGGAGCGGCTGGTGGATTTGAACTGCCGACTTTTCGGTTAGCAGCCGAGCTTTTAGCCACTGCGCCACTAGGGCTCAGGTAATGGGAAGAGTAAATATAAAAATTTGAAAAAAGCAGCAGTAGAATAAATGGCTGGGTAACGTCAGTGGTATAACTAGGAGGGTGCGGGGGGGTGCAGACCGGACCGAGTGACACTGCTAGAGGGGGTGACACCAAAATGACCATAAAATTTCGTGCAGTGTTTCAGCAGAAATTTATTATTTCTTATAAAAATATACCTGTTGTTATAATTTTTTTTTTTTTGGTAAGCCTTGCTTACATGTATCAATACACCTACAAGGCTAAAACTCTATGGTAATTCATTTTTGGAACCTTCTAATTGGATCCAGTCAGAGCTGTCATTATTACCCAATTTCACGGAGCTTCGAATCACGTGGTTTCATCCGCACATGCTACACTCATTGTTGTTTTCCTTGCTGCCTGTGTTTTTCTGGTGGCTGATTTTGTTAACTTTTCTAGTGTTTTACCTACAATATTGTGGTCATTAGCATGGGGGGGGGGGTGACCCCAACCTTAGAGACACCACCGGCTAACCTAATGAAGAAACAGAAAGCACAGTCAAGATACAAAATGCTAAGGTTTTGGATTTGATACAATGATAAGAAATAACCATGGATACAGAAACGTTAAAAGAACTGCCAAGAGATTTCTTCGCTCAACTCTATGCAAATGCATTTGAAACCCTGAAAGAAATGGATGATGTTCCAAGACAATATAATTTACCGAGACATTCCAGAAAAGACAGAAATTCTAAGGAGACTAATTACCACAGAAGAAATAGATGCTGCCAGAGAACTTCACTTCTCTCCACCTCCCTCCACGAAAATACCAGGCCCAGATAGTTTCCCAGGGGAATTCTGCCATGAATCTTTAAGAAACAGATTAGTGGATTGCTATTCATTCTGTCTCTGCTCATAGAAAAAGAAGGAAACCTTCCAAATTCTATTTATAAAATAATCATAATACTAACATCAAAATTAACAAAAGACATGCATATATTACACACATACACACACCCTCACCATAGAAATTCTTATGAATATCAATAAAAATCCTAAGTAAAATAATTTTTAAAGTTATTATAACATGAAAAGAATAGCAAGCCATTTCCAGGAATGGAAGGATGACTGAATACTAGGAAATTTGTTTAAAAGCCATATTAATAGTTTAAAATAGAAAAATATTATTCATAAATGCTGAAAAGCCTTTTGATAAAAATTCAACATCCATTCTTGATAAAAACTGTCTAAAATTTCAACCAGTGGTGTTGGGAGAACTGGGTAGCCATCTGGAAAAAGTAAAATTGGGGATCCTATTCAGCCAGGATGCTCCTTAAAGCGAGGATGGAGAGACTTTGTCTCACATAACTTGGACATGTTGTCAGGAGGGATCAGTCCCTGGAGAAGGACATCATGCTTGGTAAAGTAGATGGTCAGCTAAGAAGAGGAAGATCCTCGACAAGATGGACTGACAGAGTGGCTGCAACAATGGGCTCAAGCATAACAACGATTGTGAGGATGGCGCAGGACCAGGCAGTGTTTCGTTCTGTTGTACATAGGGTTGCTGAGTCAGAACTGACTCGATGGTACCTAACAACAACATTCACAGTTCACACCTTACATCAACATACATTCCAGATGGTTTAAATAGTAATTGAAAGTATATGTGTACTAGAAGATGTCCTGATAAATTCCATAGTGGGGATAGTTTTTCTAAGCATAAAACAATACCAAGAAGCTATAAAGAGAAAATTGATAAATTCAACTACACAAAAATTAAAAATGAAAAACTGTGGCAGAATACATAAAATGAAAACAGCAATGTAGATGTGAAATTGCAATCACATTACAGGCAAATGGCTAATTTCCTTAATATGTAAAGAGAGCGCCCACAAATCATCAACAACCCACTGGAAAAACAGACAAAGGATATTGACAGTTCACAGAAAAGGAAATACAAATACAAAAGGGCTCAGCCTCATTCAAAATAAGAAAAATGCAATTAAAACTACAATCGTATTCACCTATCACATTAGCAAACGTCAAATAGTTTGATAACACACTCTAAATGGCAAAAGAATAGGAAAACCGGCCATTATCAGACTTTGATGGAGGTGGGAATTGACACACCTCTGGGGAGAACAA